TGTTGTGAAAGATAAAACAGCAGCTAAGAGTTAATAATAGCAGGCTATAGATTTTCTTCCATCTGCAGCATGGCTTATTGTATAAATAAATGTTCTTTAGTATTCTTCAGCAACTGCTCGTGGGTGACTCAGTCTTTCAAAAACTGAACAAAAGGAATAATACAAATCCCTTGTATCCAGGGAATTCCTCTAATTAGAAGTGGAATGAATTAGAGAAGAAATTTGATTTTAATTTAACATCTGCAAATGACAGATGCCTTTTCACATAGTTCTCAATGTCATTCCTTTACTAAAAATAATGCTAATAACAATAATAACAAATTATCCAAACAGAACATAATGTAGTAATCCATTTAATAAATATTTTAGTACATTCTGGTTGTTTGGTATTTTCAATGATCTTTTCTAAATAAATAATTCTTTGTATATTCAAAGGTTACCAATATACTTTCTCTGAGAATTTCCCAGAGTATTTTAAAGGTCATGATTTACTCTTAAACAGGTTAGTTGGTTGAGACTAGGATAAATATTTAAGAAAACTGCACATATAAATAAAAAGAAAGAAATTTACATAACCATGTTACAAAGTCAAATACACTCCCTATACTGTGAGGCCAAACTAGTACGCTTAAAAGATTTCCTTTCAAACTTAGTGCCAATCCTAGGCTCCTTTCAGCCTCCCATGTACAAATGCTCTTGTAACTTCTGGCGTATCAGCCTTTTCCCAGCATTTCTGGGCACCTGTTCCAGGCACAGGTCCTGGGCTAGATGTCACCCTGAAAAGGGATGTAGGAACACACACACACACACCCACATACACTCTCTCTCTCACACACACACACACACACATACACACTCACACACACACACACACTCACAAAAGATGCTGAAACTTCAAGCCAGTGACTACGTCCATGACGCTCTGGGGATAGTCAGGATTAATCATGTACAGGCATCTAGGAACAAGAGGATCCCCAAAAAGGCATTTAGAATCCCTGAAAGGACTACAGAGAAGCCTTGGTTCTCAACCAGCACTTCATAGCTGAGGAAGCTAAGGTTTAAAGAAATAGAAAGGTCTGCCCAAGACACCTACCAGCTTGTAGTAGGCTTAGACCTGGAACTCTGGTGTCCCATCACCTGTCTGATTACTCTTTCCCTCCTATGCTTTTCAGAAATGACTAAATCATTATCATTTTTTTCTCCATGCCCATATATACCAGGGCTGAGTAAGTAGAGTTCAGAGGACATTAGCATGTTTCCTATTTACAATAGGGACACTCTTGTTGAGGTGAACAGGAGGACACTTCACCAAAACTTCCTCTTGTCTCAATGGCTCCTGCTCAAGGCTGCTACTGAACATCTATTCTCTGGTAACTGGTCACTGTCAATCACTACTATGCCTGGAAACAAACTTGCCCAAACCACTAAAACTTACCTTCAAAAATTTCTAAAGGCAAACACTTTGACCACCAGTATTACTTTCCAGATGCTGACAGGGAGGGAAAGCAGTGTGATCGGGCATTTTAACAAACCCTTTGAATCACTTACATTCTGCTCTATATGCAAGTCTTTCCTTGACTGCTGACTTAGTAATAAAAGCTGGAAAAAACATAAGTCTAACAATAACACATTTCTTTTCTATGGCCAAAGAACTATTGTGTCAATATTTGTGGAGATGGACTTATTTTGAAAGTAATTTAACAATGAAATGATGTTGCTAAGCACACTGATTTTTTTTTTTTATTTAGTGAAAAAAAGAAGTTCAATACAAAGCTCAAGAAGTGAACAGGCCCTCTCAGATGAGAGGGTTTTATGCACTCACACAAGCACACCCACACTTCTTCAACATACCATTCACAAATGCTGTGTATTATTAAGAGGAGGCGGATTCTGCCAGGCACATAATTTGTATATTTAAGGGAGGTGTATGGAATGAAAAAGCGAAATATGTTAAATTTCAAAGGACTTGGAAGCAATGCTGCCTGTAAGCTTGTATTACAAATAGCCCTACATTATTACATACGCTATTAATGAGGCCAAGTGAATGAAAGTACAATTTGAATATGCATGACTCTATCCAATGAGCAAGACTTTTGTATACTGATGAGGTTTTTTTTTCCTCCCAAAAAAGGATTAAAATTATTCTTAGAGAAGTATGGCTGCCCAGAGAACAGTAAAATAAATGTACTTAGACCACAGAGTCATACCATGTTCAGATGAAATATACAGGTGCTAAAAGAATACCTTTGACTCTACCCACATTTTCAGAAACTTATACATATCCTGTCCTCCAAAAGGAATATTCCTTAACTTCAAGCAGCTGTGTCATTACAATTTCTAAGGAAAAAAAAAAAAATGATTTTGGTGGAGATCCCTAAAAGTAGGCAAGGTTAAATAAACCTTATGAGTACAAAGCCTTCCCTTCCACAGTAAGGAGCACTAGTTAAAAGGCTGGGGAATGGGTAAATTATTGCACCAAATGGCTGAGAATTAATCTCTGCTGACTAGCTGTAATCTAACGAGGCGTCTGTGTCCCAGGGAGCCCGCAGCATGTCCCTGGCGGTATGTGCAGTGTGTCGAGTCTGCGTGGCACCCTTTGTCCTCGCTCACAGGCGGCCTTTCCCCTCATTGTCCATAATATCCTCATGCATCTGGGACGCGTGGAATGCATTCATACTAACAGACTTACCATTGTTTTCTCTCAGAAGCTTTGTTGAGCAAAGACTGCATCACGGTTACTGATAATTATATTGCTTAATTAATCAAGACAAAAAAAATTTGCAAATCATTGCCTGGTTGCCAAGCACGGAGATAAAAAATGACAACAATACAAGCTGAAGCAATATAACAAAAGTAACAGCTATCTGATCAGAAATTCTTATATAATGAAGCTATTAATGCTAAATCGGTTAATGTTAACATTGCTCCAGGTGTCTCTACTTAGATGCAAACAAAAAGGCTAACATTATGGATATAAAAGGCCAAATGTTGCCATGGATTCTGTAACCTGATAGAGAGGACAGCCTTTTCATTTGATTAGGGAATGCAATTTAAATACCAGGGACTGAAGCCAAACAAACAGACTTTCCCTCCACAAGCCTCTTGCATTCACCCTGGGGTCAGTGGTTGGTGAACAAAAGGTCAGCCACACTTGCCCTGGAAATGTCTGGATTAATTTTATTACATTGTAATGGTTTGTACTTTAAATGTAAGGATAATACTAAATTTCCAGTTGGCCATTATTCTCTTCTTCCTTTTAGGCTTTTTGAATTAAAATATTAAGAAAGCAATTTACTCAATTCATCTTGTCAGAACTTATAACCAAATTCATAAAATGTACAAACATTTTGTAAGAAAGCTTACAAGGTATGTTAATAATTATTTTCATGCATTATAAGTATACTATCTTTTAAAAAATCACTTTGAGTCTATAAAGTGAATTAAAATGCCTCATATGCTCTTTATTTACTTTAAAAATAAAGGTGACTTTTTAGGACAATAAATGACATTTTAGAGGACCATGTTGAAAATGAGCTAATAAAGCCAATTACTCCATACTAAATATTAAAGAAACACATTTCCTATTTTTGAAATCTACAAGACGCTAAATTCACTGGTTCCCTTATATTAAAATTTTCAGTTTAATTCTTTAAAGTAGTGCTCTTCATGGACAAATACAAATGTTAGCACTAAGAGCTATTTTCATACACAAAACTGAAAACTTCATGCACATGGAGATCAGAATCAAAAATGATGCAAATATTTAATATGAAGCGACTTTTGGCATCTGCGTTCCCTGAATAGAAAAGAGGGTTCCCTTTATGTCAGGCTTTGCAACAGCCAGAATGGAACTTTTATGAATTCAGGAGTTGACCCACACTGCATTTATTCAGAGAATAATAAGCATGCTAAACTTGGAATTCATTAAGTATTCTCTCTCCAAGTAGTAACAACAAAAAATAACAACAATAATAATAATACCAGCTAACACTTAAGTAGCTTTTACTCTGGACCAGGCACTGTTTGAAGCACTTTCTTATTTATTAGCTCATTTAATCCTAACAACTTTAACCCTTTAGATCAGGTCAAAATCCCAATATGAACAATAAATCTGTTGCCTATTATTTCAAAGCTTTAAAAGAGAGTTTTCAGAAGGGTAACTTTCAGCTCCTTCAGGAAACCAACTTGAAATGAAAATGAAGATTATATTTATTATCAAGCTGAAAAACACAAAGTCATTCCTCTTGAGGAATGGCTTAATATACTAATGTTTAATTTAAAAGCTTTAAAAACAACCTTCTATTAATAATTCTAAAACAAAAACCAGTAGCTACATAAAGCATGGCTAAAACACCACTAAAGGTATGAAAAGGATTGAAACTGCAGCAAATTTATTATACAGCACACAGATTATTGGATTGTTCCAGCTCTTCCCATGATCAATACCAATTGACACGGCTGAATTTATTCTGTAGCAAGGTGCTCCAATTGTTGAAACTCATCACGTGGGCTGTGCTCCAGAGGCTCGGCCTCTTCATGGACATGCCTGCAATCATGCAGGACTGACCCCATTAGCACAGTCACAGGCTCAGCAATCACCCGTATACCAGGCAAGGTTGGAGTCTATACTCACAGTTCTCCACAAAATGCTAGATGTGATATGGGGTTCCCTCAACTCTTATTATTAATCAACATGCCCAAAATTTCAAATTATAATTTTTCAAAAGTACAAAATTTAGGAAACTTAAAACATTTACAAGCTAATAAATTTGACATTATAATTTCCAAAAAGGCCTAGTAATACAATAATAACATTTTGTGCTCATGATGAAAAATTCTTTGAAAATCCCATTTCATATTTAATTGCTATATAGCTCGTAATGACATTCAACAATTGGATGAGAGTCCCCTTTAACATACTTAAATTACTGATTGTCAGTGTCGGTGAACTACATGGCAAATGCTGTATGAGTCAGTGTAACAACGCAATGAAAACATACCTCAGGTTTCTTCGTTATTGCGATGAAGAACATGTGATTCTTCATTGGGTAAATGATGATTGAAACATCTCCAAAGGCGGTTGGGATAATACCCCTGCGGTAGTCTCTGGAGTGTTCAGACCAGACGATGTGGACTTCGTCATTCCCCAAGTGACGAAGCTGCAACAGCAAATTGGCTCTTTATTAATCAGGGTGATAACAGCAGTTTATGAGGGGTCGTGGCTTACAAATTGAATTATAAAACTCAAAGGCCAAAAGAATTCACTACCAAAAAATGCTACAACACTGCTGTCTTCTACGAGGATTTTAAAAAGCACAAGTACATAAAAGCATAGCCTGTCATTGGTACCAAGGTAAGGCAAGCAAGCTTCGCAGGCACATTACAACTGATGGGGCTGAGGCCTTTGTAAGAATTTATTTCTGTCAAAAACAGAATTTTACTCCTGCATCAGAGTCCTATGCTTTGTATTGCCGAATATGCTTCTAAACGATTAATAACACATGTCTTTTATTCCACATTGCAGTTGAGCTTTATAAGACTCATAATTCAATGGTTATTATGAAAATAAGAATATGAACAAGAGAACATAAGCCATTACAACACAATTGTTACCAAATGCATAAGAAACTAGATTTTGTGACAAACCTTTAAGAAAAGGATGTATAAAATTACACCCATACTTAGCATTTAAAGAGCGCTTACTGTATAGAAAGCATGTTGTCTCCTTTAATCTTCCCACTAACTCTCTGAGGTAGAAGACATCATCTTCATCTTATTGTACAAAAAGGAAATGGGCAATCAGGAAGGTGAAGGCACCACCTACCTGAGGATGTGTGAGCAGCAGTGGCAAAGTGGGCCTAGGGACATGCACTGGGGCTTCCAACTCAGGGCCATTTCCACTGTTTCAAGGCTACCTAAGCCTGCACCCAAAGTTACTTTATTGTTATTGTTCAGTAGTGTAGCCCACTTGTTTCATCATCTTATACACAAAGAGGCTGTAAAGAACAAAAGCAAATCACAGACCCCTGGCCTCTTTGAGGGGGCCTTACTAGAAAGATCTCCAAAACCAGACCCCTTGAGAGTTCTTCCTTCCAGGCCTAGGCTCTGTCAGGTGTAAGAATGCCCTTGATAAATCTCCTGCACGATGAGTATGCCACCTCCAGATGGAGAAAGCTGCATACAAAATCATTTAAGTGACAAAGAATCAAAGTGTGACTAGAAGAAACTAGATTATAAAAATTAAAATGTTGACCAGAACTGAAGTTCTGAAATCGCAAAGGCTGGTGAGGCCCTCTGACACCTTCTGGGAATTCGAGATTCTCATTCCCTCACATGGAACAGCAGAAGGATGCTCTCTGGCACCATGAATAAGTATTTCTTGCTGCCTTTTCTAACAGATGAACATTAAAAATGACTAAATTCAGAAGCAGTTTAATAAAATAGAGACATGTCAAATCTAATGTTTTTAGTTTTGTCTTAAAGTATTTTTAAAAAAGATTTTCTGGAATACTATGTATTTAAAACATGTCACCATAAAAACAGTTTTCTTTAGACTATTTGACCACAAAAAAGAAAATCTGAGGCAACCCCCACATAGCCTTTTTTTCCATTTGTAAGGTTACAAAAGGAAGCTCATTTGCTGCAAGGCCTGTTTATTCTTCACTCTCTCATACTTCTGGGAATGACTGTACAGACCAATTATTTAAAAAGAGACCTGTGCCTGTGCCATTGTACCTATACTGAGGGATGCATGATTCAACTGTGTCTGAATGCGGGCTCTGGGACAAACGCAACTGTGGGTGCTGAGCACAAGTCACGACGATCCAGAACAATTTAATGGCATCTACAACTTTCTAAAAGCAAAATTACCCAGTACATCATTTTTTTCCTTCCCCCTTCCAATACAAAGGTAGAATAATGGCAGCAAAACGTACAGCAAGCCCTTTATATAAATAGTTTTAAACAAAATACAACACTGGGCCTTCTAGTAGTGCTGAACATCTCTTTACACTTCTCCATTCCTATCTTTGCTATAGCTTTTCTTTTCCTTTTTCCTTTTTAATAAAACATGCAAAGACATTACAGTGCACTTCTAAAATTCAATTCTTTTGCAGTGAAAATGTGGTAGCCAGCATCACCAAGAACCTAATATAGGTATGTTTTCAGGGAAATATGAATAGTATCTAACTGGAACTGTAGGGGGAATTTAGAGCGGCAGAAGGTAATTGTGAGAAATGGGGCTGCCCCAGACCTCACACCTACAGCCCTCACCCTGCAAAGAGAGCCAGCTTCAGGGTGACTCTGGGTCCCTTGGTATAATGCTTGCACAAATGTCTGAATGGAAACAGCTCACCTACTAAACACCCCTCAAACGTGCTGCCACTACCCCATGTTGGCACTCTAGTTTCTACAATAGTTCCTTTTGATCCACAAATATTAATTGTAAAATAATATTTACAATTGTAAATTAAATATTGAAATTTTGTAGTTACTTTCCCATTTCAAACTGGGTTACTCAATAATACAACCTAAGTAAATCTCTCTTAATTTTACTTGCATCTGAATTCTCAGAACTACAAAAGGGAGGGTAGTTTCACACTAATAGACCCAACCTCCCAGTGTGACAATTCTGTAATTAAGGAAGAGCTATCTTTGTGTGGTAATGATATGATATTCATCATCTCAAAGCTGCTTTCAGTGGCACGTGACTCAGACTTCTGGATACATCACAGTTAAATTAGCTAAATCACAAAACTAAAAGCTAAGGCCATGGGAGCACCTGGCTGATAAATCTGGAGCAAAAGGCAAAAATACGCCTTCTTTGGCCTATGAGAAAACAGGTAAGTAAAATAAATAAAATTCATCTGGGTATGTCAATAAAATTCATCTAACATATCAACCATGTTAGAACGTATGGAATACTCTGAATACCTCAAAGTGTTGCCCAATTTAAAAAAGAGTCTATCATAGAGATATCATTTTGTGAGTATTGGAGAACGGTGATTAGAGGCCCTCAGATTAGAAATCCACAGTGAATTTAGTGAGTCAAGTTGATCTGACTCCTGTGTAACTGGGGAGGAACGATGAGTCTCCTGGAATGGAGCCGGTGTTTATGTCAGCTACTCCTTCAACTGCACAACAGGCTCCAGAATGCCTGGATACTTATCAGGCTCAGAACAAATGGCTTGGATTTTAAGTCTTAAGAAATCAATCCCATGCCCCACAACTTCTTGTTCTAACAGAGTTTTAAAGTCCCTTTGCCTAAGCCATTCTGTCTGTTGCTGCCGCCGGGCTGCACGCCACTGGTGACACTGGTCATGGTACACACCTAATAGGCTGACCTCCTTTCCCGACTAATTGCATTACATCGCCAGCTGGCTCCAGAAGGAGTCGTCTGTTTGATTGAAGAATTCCTGCTCCTCAGTGGGCCCGGCTGCTACTTTTACTAAGTAACAGTCAGGCCTGACATCCCCATTGTTCAGCTGACAGTGTGCCCATCCTAAAATCTAAGTTTTATTTGTAAATTAACCAAGAAACTTCCTGCCAGAACAGCGCTGCCTGGAGACTGATAATGTGGGCCTTTCATCCCGTTTCACTCATACTGTATCACTGCCAATTTGTTTTTTATGTGCCTGGCCAGCCTGAGGCTATAAAAGCCTTGTAAGACATAAGTGCAATTATAGTCCTGGAGTCAAATGAATTGGACAAATCCAATAGCACAGCTCTGTCCCCACTCTGCAAACCCCTACAGCAGTTAGATTAGCTGTGAAAAATCTAATCTATCTGGAGCTAACAAATTTCTGCAGTGAAGGATCAAGAGTTCAGTATGGGGTTGCAACCGGATTGCAGAATTGAAAAAGTCCCCCCATGATAGGGGCAGAAGAGAGCATGAATCACTTCAGAATTTTGCAGCTCTTTTTTAAGCTGTTAGGGACAATTTGGTTAGAATAAGACAAGGAACTGTGGGCTGCTGTTACTGTGACTGATTTTCAGTCTAGCTGTGAGATATCTGATAAAGAGAGTTTATCACTAATGATGCTAAATCTTAGAGCTGCAAAAGGTATCAGCTGAATTTTGATTATTACAGTAGGGAATCTTTCAACCAGGCCAAGCCTTAGAACATTATTTATAGCATGGCATCTTATCAAGATAACATGTCTTTTCTCAAAAAGAAAAAAACAGTCCTGCCTTACTTAATAAACAATTTAAAAATTTTTATATATTTATTTTATCTTTTAACAAAATATTTCTCAGTCATAAGAAAATTATAGAATATGGTGACACATTTGCAAAGCAGAAACAATATACAATGTATTGCAAATAAAAAAGATGTGTAAGCCCAGCTTAGGGTCCTGGTAAGCTACACTAGAGTCTGAGATCCTGGTGAACTCTTGGAGGGCAGAGCTCCCTTTCCTGAGAGCTCTAAAGCCAGGGCAGCCATCAAAACCCAACACTGAGGCAGCTTCTCCAAGGTCTGTGGGAACCAGCACGTGATCAGCTCTTCTGGCTGCAGTACTGCCCCCCACAGGAGGTCATTATAGCTGGGGTAGGAGAGGAAAAGGCTGCTGAGTTTTTGAATGCAAATGTGTTTTGTACATCTGAGACACTTGATCGCTATGAAAGTTGTCTGTCATTGGGCCGTGACTCAAGTTCTGATGTTTCACATGCACTGCTGACCATCATATACAGGCACACCTCAGAGATATTACAGGCTTGGTTCTGGACATATCTGCAACAGGTTTTTCTAAAATATTGCAAATATAGATGTTGCAAATATTGCAATAAAGCAAATCACACAAACTTTTGTGTGCACTGGGAAACCAGTGTGCATAAAACATACATTTACTATAGTCTACTATATGTGCAATAGCATTATTTCTTAACATACACATATTAATTTAAAAATATTTTATTGCTAAAAAATGCTAATGATTATCTGAGCTTTCAGTGAGTTGTAATATTTTTTTGCTGGTACAGGGTTTTGCCTTGATGCTGGTGGCTGTTGATTGATAAGGGTGGTGGTTACTGAAGGCTGGGGTGGCTGTGGAAATTTCTTAAAATAAGACAATGTAATTGCCATATTGATTCACTCTTCCTTTCATGCAAGAATTACCTGTAGCGTGTGATAGTGTCTGACAGCATTTTGAGCACAGTAGAACCTCTTTTGAAATCGGAATAATCCTCTCAAACCCTGTCACTGCTTTACCATCTAAATTTATGGGATATTCTAAATCCTCTGTTGTCAGTTCAACAATGATCACAGCATATTCACTGAGAACAGATTCCTTCTCAAGAAACCACTTTTCTTTGCTTATTCATAAGAAGCAACTCTTCATCCAGTCAAAATTTTATCATGACATTGGAGTAATTCAGTTACATCTTTAGTCTCTACTTCTAATTCCAGTTCTCTTGCTATTTCTGCTACATGTGCAGTGACTTTTCTCCACTAAAGTCTCAAACCTTTTAAAGTCATCCATGAGGGTGGGACTCTACTTTATCCGAACTACTGTGAATGTTGATATCTTGACCTTTCCCTATGAATCAAGAATGTTCCTAATGGAATCTAGAGTGGTGAATCCTTTCTAGAGGGTTTTCTATCTTCTTTGCCAGATCCATCAGAGAAATCACTATCTATGGCAACAATAGCCAAGTTCTTAAATAATAAGACTTGAAAGTTGAAATTACTCCTCGATCTGTGGGTTGCAGAATATGGATATTGTGTTAGCAGGCATGAAAAACAACATTGCATCTCCTTCAGAGCTCTTGGGTGATAAGGTATATTGTCAATGAGGAGTAATACTTTGAAATAAATGTTTGACTCTGAGTGGTAGGTCTCAACAGTGGGCTTTAAATCTTCAGTAAACCATGCCGTAAACAGATGTGTTGCCACCCTGGTTTTGCTGTGCCATTTATAGAGCATAGGCCGAGTAGATTTAGCATAATGTTTAAGGGCCCTAGAATCTGAAGAATGGTAAATGAGCACTGGCTTCAACTCGAAGTCACCAGCTGCATTAACCCTAATAAGAGAGTAAGCCTGTTCCTTTGAAGCTTTGAAACCAGGCATTAACTTTTCCTCTCTAGTTATGAAAGTGCTAGATAGCATCTTCTTCCAGCAGAAGGCTGTTTTTACTACAGCGGAAATCTGCTGTTTAGGATAGCCACCTCCATGCCTGATCTTAGCTAGGTCCTCTGGATAAGCTGCAGCTTCTACACGAGCACTTGATGCTTCACCTTGCACTTTCATTTTATGGAGACAGCTTCTTTTCAAACTTCATGAACCAACCTTGGCAAGCTTCAAGCTTTTCTTCTCCAGCTTCCTTACTTCTCTCGGCCTTCGTGAAATTGAAAAATGTTAAGGCCTTGCTCTGGATTAGGCTCTGGCTTAAAGGAATGCTGTGGCTGGTTTGATCTTCTGTTCAGACCACTAAAACTTTCTCCATTATCAGCAGTAAGGCTATTTCGTTTTCTTATTCATGTGTTCACTGGAGCAGCACTTTAATTTCCTTCAAAAACTTTTCCTTTACATTCAAAAATGGGGAAATGTTTGGTGCAAGAGGCCTAGCTTTTAGTATATCTCAGCTTTCAACATGCCTTCCTCACTAAACTTAATCATTCCTAGCTTTTGATTTCAAGTGAGAGACATGCAACTTTTCCTTTCACTTGAACACTTTGAGGCTATTACGGGGTTATTAATTGGCCTAACTTCACTACTGTTGTGCTCAGGAAATAGGCAGGTCCAAGGAGAGAAAGATAGATGGTGAATGACCAGTGGGTGGAGCAGTCAGAACACACCCAACATTTATCAATTAAGTTTGCCATCTTATATGGGGAGTTTGTGGTGCCCCAAAACAATTATGATAGCAACATCAAAGATCACTGATTACAGACCATCGAATGAGATATAATAACAACAAAGTTAGAAATATTGTGAAAATTACAAAATGTGACAGAGACACACATGAGTACCTGCTGTTAGAAAGACAGTGCTGATAGACTGTTTGATTCAGGGTTGCCACAAATCTCTAATTTGTAAAAAATTTAATACCCATGAAGTGCAATGAAGTACTGCACAGTGAAACAAGGTATGTCTGTACATAGTGCAGATGTCTGTGGCTGCAGTGGTGAAAAAGCGAAACCGTACAATAAATAAAGCAGGTACAGTGAGGCCAACTGGCCAATATAAAGCATCTGGCTAATGGGGCAGGGGAAAAAAAAGAATCAATTAGACCAATGCGCAATGATGAGGGATGATGGTCAGAGACATCTTCCCAGGTACCATGCTAAGCAATTTTATAGGAATTATCTCATTTACCTCACTCAACAACCCTGTAACAGGTTGCGTTTTTAATCTCACTTAGTAGAAGGAAAACTAAGGCACAGGCTGATGAAATAACTGAATATACATCTGATCCCTGGTCCGCCTGTCACCAGGGCCTGGCTATAACCACCGCAGCAGACTCCCCAATGGCCAGCCTTAGTCAGCATGTGAGGTGGTATCGTCAGTCTGTAGCATCTATGTGGTAGGGAGAGAGTAAGGTGGGGATTCTAGGTTCCCCATCTGCTAGCAGGCCAGGTGAGTGCAAATCACAGTTGCTCTGAGATGCTTTCATCTGGAAGCTTACAGAAGCCCATCCAATTAGAGGCTTCCTTACAGAGTCAAATACCTCTTCTATTAAGGCACTCCTCACATTTAACACAGGGTTGCCTGAAGCAAATATCCTGCAGGTTGGAGGTTCCTCAAGGGTAGATGAGTTTCCCTTTGAATTCTAAAGAAAACTGCCCACAGGGCAAGTTGAAGAATGAAAAGTAAGGGGTGACAGTGGGGCTGCTGGGCAGCTGCACACCTGCGCTTACATTGACAGATGCTGCCAAATCGCCCTGCAGCAATCGCTTTCCCAGAGCTCCAGTAGTACAGGGGTCTCATACGTTGTGACCTATGACAATCTGGGAGATCAAAAATGTCATTTTCCATTAGGTAATATTAATGGCAGGGAGGTAACAACACCTAAGACCCTTCCTTTTCATGAACCTTAATCTCAGGATTGTAGAGTTCAAAGGAAACTGTTTCAATGTGTGTGTTCTGCCCTGTATTTGTCTCATCCTAGGGGAGCCTCACCTACAAACCAGGGCAGCTAAGAATGGTGCCTGAGGAGACCCCTTACCTTTTTGGTGAGGGAATCATCTGAGTCTGACGGCATTCGAGTGGAAACATGGAAGATCACTTCCACAGTCGAGGTAGCATAGTAAGGGGCCGTCTGCCCGGTGCTGCCATTGCGCTGAAGGCCACCCATGAACCCACAGTGGGTGGAGAGATCCACCTGACGAAGGTCACAAAGAAGAAAGAGTGAGGATCAAAAATGAGCTGTTCTTTCACTAAGCAGGGCTGTGGATTCAGAAAAAAATAAATTATTTTCATTTTTATATCTTTCTTTCTGATTACAAACAAATGCTATACAAAGTAAGACCAAATTAAAATGTTAAAGAAATAAAAAATATTAAAAATGAAAGTGCTCTATAGTCATACCAACTGAATAAAACCACTATCAAACTTTTGGTATATACTCTCTAACTTTTTTTCCCCACCTGTATGTGTAAATGTTATGTGTATATATGCATATATGTGTGTGTATACATAGGTTCCCTATCGATGGATGTGTGGGGGTTTCTGCTTCTTCAAATCAGAAAGCACACTCGAAGGAGTGATTTTCTAAGATGTTGGGTCAAAAGGTACGGATATTAAAAAAAACTCAGCAATCCTTGACAAACTGCCTTTCAAAAAAGGGTTGAACAACCACTTTATACCACTGCTGAAAGTTTACGAGTCATAATTCATTTTAAAGTTATGACATGATTGTTCACTTCTTAGTGCCTTTATGCAAAATTTTTAACTTGTCATAAACTGGTATTCTTTCAGTAAAATACCTACTCTAATACATACGAAAAAAGAAATAGAAGAATCTCTTCTGTGACAAATATAGTAAACACGTACTCTTAAAACTCTAATTGATACTGTATGGCTTAAAATATATTAAGTAATAAATATATTCTATGACAAAGTAGAAGTAGCCTTACTAGTGGGAACAATAGTTTCCTGGAAGTGCAGTAACTCTATTGGACTGACACCTACTTGCCTTCTTAGTAAGTACGTTGTTTTGACTATGATGTTCTCTTACCCTGTCCCCTTTGCTACCTCAGTCCCTTTGCTCGCATTGAGCTCTCAAAGGCACCCAGAGAGTTTTTCGGAGCACAGGTCCCCGAGTAACTAATAAAAAATAAGCAAATTATTTTAGAACTGTTGATTTCCATTTTAACTACTCCTAATTATTTCAGATTCTAGTAATACATTTTCCCTCAGATTTATGTTCCTGGAAGACAGATATGCATGTGTGATATGTGTGTGTGTGTACATAAATGTATATAGGTCTGTATGTCAGAGTACAATTTAATAAAGAAAAAAATAACTTTTTCAACATCAATCATCCTGGGATCTACCTTAGGGAAATAGGTTGATAGCTAAACCATCATGGCTATTATATTATATTTTCACTGCAACTTTTGACTTCATCCAACTCTTTCTTCATCTTTTCACCCATCAAGTCATTGATTTCTTCTTCAATCTCCATACTGTGGCCAAAGCCATTGCTTCTCTGCCCACATTTGTCTTCTCTTACTACAAACTGTCTATGGCTGGGAGAGCCCATCTGACTATTCAGTTCTGATAAAAAGCAAATGAAAAAATATTAAGAGGAAAGTTAAGAGAAAACAAAAGTTCATGTATTAAATACTGACAAGCAACTAACAGCAGATGTCAAATTCAGTAAGTTCTTCAATTCCAGAACTCTACCTATGCTATATTTGAATGCAAATGCTCATGTAAAAACTTACGCAATGTCTAGTTTGGATACATCTTTAAACAGTGCTGCTCAATAAATACCTACTGAATGAAATGCATTACCTCCCATCCAAGTCCAGCCACAAAGTCTTCATATGCTTGGCTTCCTCTTTCATTAGAGAGGATTGAACACTTGTCTTCTTGACCTTCAGCAATGTAAAACACTGCGATTTTGTGTGTCTCACGGCTATAAATTTTTAAATTAAAGGAGTTAGAATTCTTATACATAAAATTTTATCTCACTACTATTAATACCACCAGCATGACTTCTACCACTGAGTTTACATATACTGGAGAACCTGCTAGAGGTCAGTCAGTGTTCTGAGACGGTTTGACACATGGTCTCATTTATTCTTCACAACCATGCTAAAGAGATGAGTATTATTATCACCTCCCTAGCTAGGTGGTTGAAAGGAGGAACAGAAAGTGAAACAAAAAGCACACCCAGCAAGCAGGGGATGGGAACTGCGGCAAGGCCATCTGCTTGCTGAGACCACAACCTCAGACATAAGATAGACTGACTGAGCAGCACGTTGGGGCACACTGTTTGATAAGCTCTCTGTTTTTGGTTAAAAAAAAAAAATCTTTTGTGGTATTTATATAAATTGTGAATACATCTTTGTGACTGTCCATATTTAACTCTACATTTTAAGGCTACTGGGTGGCTCTGTAATTGGAACTATAGAATATGCCAAGTTTTATAGAAAAAAGAATATCCTTCCAAGCAGAACACACTTAGGTATTATCTTCATGAAGGGGTATACCAACTCCTGTGCTCTGACTATTCTGAGGGTGCCTAACAGGTGGAGCTATTCAGGGAAACCCCTTTTAGCCATATAAACCCTTCATCTGATTGTTCCAGGATAGATCTTGTATTCTCTGGTATTAAATCAAGCAAATATGATGTGCACTTTGAAAAAGAAAGCCTATCATTTTCTCTTTTGCACATGTAGCATATCCCTTTGCATACAGTAGGTATTCAGTTAAATCTGTATTACACTGAGCAGAGATATGGTGATACATTTGAATGCATTAATAAATTTCTACAAGTTATACCCTGGAGTAAGGAGACAAAATACCCAGATCTATACCAAGCATTTGGTGACAGTTTAGAGATGAAAACACTGTTCTTATTCAAATGAAGCTTTAATTACAAATCAATCATTCCCTAGCCCAATCATCCAAGAGTTATGGGTTTTTTAAAGTTCTGATGTCCACTTCCAGAGCAGTTCCACCTTTTTCCTCTTTTTGCACTGCATTCTGATAAATGTAGGAATAATTATAAAGTACTTAGATACAGAAATATTTTTTCTGTCAAGTTGTTTAATATTTCAACATTGTAATTTGATTAGGCATCATATTGGTGGAACTGGGCTCCATATTTCAACAAATTCTCTAAGATTTCCTTTTGCATGAGTTATTTCTCTACTTAATAAGCAGAACTAATTGACTTTCAATTAAAAAGTTATACAAATAACTAGAGGAAGAGAGTTCTCTCTTTTTATTCAGTTAGATAGTGTATTCACTTCCCCTATAGTTTCTATGTAATAAACATACTTAGAAGAAGAATTAGAAAATACAGAAAAAAAAGAGAAGAATAAAAATCACTTGCAATTTCAACAGATAAGCAAAGAGCATAGCCACTACACCATTTTAGGATACACTTTTGCATGCAAATATGAGAAGTTACTACATTCTGCTTTACAATAGATTTTTTCACTTAAAATATTTGCAAACACTTTTTATTATGGTAAAATATACATATCATAAAATTCACCATTTCAACTATTTTTTAGTATGAACACTTTTATATCATGTGCTTCTACAACAAAGGTTTAATGACTGTAACATTCCATTATATTAATATGTCATAGCCCAAATCCTCATTTAGGTTGCTTCCATTTTAAAAGACATTTTCACGTTATCTTTAATACGCCCTTAAAGATAATCTTTAGTGTTTTTAATCTTTTTTTTGAGACAGTCTCACTTTGTCACCCAGGCTGGAGTGCAGTGGCATGATCTCGGCTCACTGCAACCTCTGCCTCCTGTGTTCAAATGATTCTTGTGCCTCAGCTGTCCCAGTAGCTGTGACTACAGTTGCATGTCACCACATGCCACCACAACTGGCTAATTTTTGTTTGTATTTTTAGTAGAGACAGGGTTTCACTATGTTGGCCAGGCTGGTCTTGAACTCTTGATCTCAGGTGATCCACCTGCCTCAGCCTCCCATAGTGTGGGCTTTATAGGCTTGAGCACCATGCCCAGCTGTAATATCTTTAATATGTCCTTAAAATAAATTTAGGCAGCTTGTCCTCATGCAGCAGGAACCCCTGAAACTGCCACACCATTCACTGCCCTGAGGAATGAGCAGGGGACATCAATAGCCTAGAATCTGACTAGCTTATTCCAAGAGCTATACAAATTTGGGCATTTGGATAATAACAAACCACAACCTATGACCTAAAAGACTGCCTCTTTCAACAAAGGTGCAGAAGTATAGTTATTCAATTTCTATCTGCAGGTCTCTCCACATATGTACAAATCCTCAGCATTTCATTTTTCTTTGTTTTATCAACTTTACATACACACACAAAAAAACTCAGGTTTATCTAAATGTTTTTTTATTCTCCTTAAAAATCTAAGCTTTTCCCATTGCAGCTGTTCGTAAGTCCTTGAGCCCTCACTAACTCAAGGTGGGAGCACAAGAGAGCTAAGCCTGAATGACGAGCTGACCAACGTGAGTGTGAGGAAAGATGACCTTTAGTTGTAAACATTCATCAAATTTCACATCCTCTAAAATGTTAGTACTGTAGAAAGCCTGCTAGGATGCAGAAGCTGTGTCTGGCTTTATTAGAGCCATGCTTTTGAAATGGTAATTAGCAACTTCAACAGCACTTCACGTCCATAAGAAGCACACCAGTGCATGAATGAGCAGGTAATTCAGGAACACACATACACAAAATCAACAATCTCCCTTTCCTCATTAGAATACACTGTTCTTTCTTATTAGGAATATACCAGAATAGCTCAGTTTCCTTGTGCTGCCACATGAAAAAGCCAAAGAAAAACATGATTTTAATATCCACCTCCCCATGTGGTGGCAAGAAGGCATTTATATCTAAAAGGGAAGCCACTGTGATTTTTATGTACATTTATCATAGCATTTTCAGTATCTAGACCATAGTGAAAGATAGCCTCAACTTTTCCAGAAAAAATGTTAAGAAGGAACTATATGCATCAAGAGCAGTGAGATAAATTGATACCAGAATTAAATAGAAATGTTCTAAATGAAAGTTGACAGACAAGGTATTTTTTACCTGCTACCTGACCAAAATATAGGGCGGTCTAGATTTCTTGTAGCTGAAGAGTCCCGGACTTATTTCTAGTTTCTTCAAAAAGTACCTTGAAAATACCCTTCACCATAAAATAAGCTGACACCCATTTGATGTCAAGAAGACACTAAATCCAGGAGTTGGGGTTTTAAGTGAAGATTGATCAAGGGGTAGGGGACTGCCAGTTAGTTATTCAAAGCTGTATTTCGCTGCAACAGTACCCCAGGGAGCTAATCAATTGTACCTCATGCAACTAAAGTGCATTAACACTCAACAAATTGACCGCAATTACATGATACCAAGTATTCACTTAATACTGAGAAGCATGGAATAATTCAGCATATGCTTAAAAAGCTCAGTGTGGAACCCAAATGACTGCTTATTTATTACTGAAGAAAGGAGGGAGAGGATAGTGAACCCGAGTTCTTCAAAATAAATCCCTCACAAAATTTCCATAGAGAAGTTGATCTATGTTCCTCTAGAGAAAAGGAGTAACAAGAACAATCAGGAAATGGAATACAGTGAAGGGCAAGCTGAGAAATGGCAGTTCAGGTTTTTCACATCTAATGACTTTTAAAAATTACTCAAATTCAAATCTTATACTGTCTCACCTAATAAATCAAGAAACAAAGACATTTAAAATGGCAATGGAGCTGTAGCAGGCTTCTGGACAGAGAACGGCTCCTTTACTCAGGTAAAACTACAAATGAATATATATATATATATATATATATATATATATATATATATTTTTTTTTTTTTTTTTTTTTTTTTTTTTTTTTTTTGAGACAGAGTTTCACTCTTGTTACCCAGGCTGGAGTGCAATGGCGCGATCTCGGCTCACTGCAACCTCCGCCTCTTGGGTTCGGGCAATTCTCCTGCCTCAGCCTCCTCAGTAGCTGGGATTACAGGCACGCACCACTATGCCCAGCTAATTTTTTTTTTTTTTTTTTTTGTATTTTTAGTAGAGACGGGGTTTCACCATATTGACCAGGATAGTCTCGATCTCTTGACCTCGTGATCCACCCGCCTCGGCCTCCCAAAGTGCTGGGATTACAGGCTTGAGCCACCGTGCCTGGCAAATGAATATTTTAATTCTGTATTTTTAAAAAATGTCTGTATATTTCTTGATACTGAAATATTTATCACTCTCCAGAGAATAATAAGGCCACCTAGGAGAAAAGGCCCGCATATTCCCTTCTGAGAGGAATTCAGGTTCGAACAGCCATCCTGTCACATTCCCAAGACTTGGAAACATACACAAAAATAGTTCATGCCTCTACATGTGTGTAGCTATGAGATGTGATGAGGGGTCCTGAGTAACTAGAGAGACAGATGGGAAAGTAGAAGAGAAAAGAATAAAAGAAAAGAAAACTTATGCCCTTCCAATTCTCACAAAATGATCAATACAAACAAATCCATCTTAATACCACATGCTTCTGAAGGATGGAAACAATACAAAGTTGTGAGTAAGTTTAATATTATTTTATCTACTCAGTTCTTAACGACATTACCAAAGGACTTGTCTGAAATATCATCTTCTAAGTGTTTAAAAAAAATTTCAACTGGACTTTATTAGTTGGGTCTATACACAATTCAAGAATTCAAAACACCAAAGAAGAATCACAGTTGCGAAGGTGATAGGCAAATCATAGCGACAGGAACCAAGAGTTTGCTTGAAAATAAAATGTAAGTAAGTGTCACTTTGAGATTTGATCAAAACTCTAAAATAAACATCAAAACCATCACTAAGCCACTGAAACACACACGATGGTGAAAATATTAACTCAGCAGGCCATAACCCATCACTATAAGTACAAGCAGGAGAAGCTCATGCCTTAAAAGGAATCATGACAGTGGATGAATGAAGGATTTAATGAACGGAATAAAGAGCTCTAGTAATTATCTGAAATGCTAGGACATGGCTTCGTAAAGATAAAGCTGGGCTCTGTTATTTCCTTTCTTCCTTCTTGCTTTTTAGCCGGCAACTGTACCACCCTCTAAAAACAGATAGCTCTAATAGATTTAAAAATTTATGAATTAATGAGTAGTAAGAAAAATGTAGTGAATAAAATATAGTGTGAAGAGCTGAAAAATAAACTTGAGGAAAACAACCTGAATTTTTCATATGAAAGCTGACAGAATATTAGGATATTCCTAAGGGGAATAAAAAGGAAATGAAGCTTTTTTTTTTTTTTTTTTAGATTTTGGTTTAAAAACTAAAGATTAAGGAGGTGGCTTATTCTCTTCAAAACTTTGAAACATCTGTTATGTACCAAGTACTATACTTATTCTTGACTTAGATGATTTTGGAAACATACATTCCCCAAATCAAACACTTTTCATGGTTCTGAGATCATCTTTAAAAATGCTTATAAAGTAGCATAGAACAGGGTTGGATCTGAGAGTCTGATCAGCTTTGGAGAATGAGGCTTATTAACAGAGTTATTAATTACAACATACTGGTTTTAACCTTTCCAACACTACGAAGCCACAAGTACAGAATGTTAGTGTCGTGGCTCACAGCATGGATTTTGAAGTCAGACTCACTTGGCTTTAGATAATACGGTATGAGCAACCACGGGCTGTTTAACCTAGGTAAACTTTTTCTTCATCAAAAAGAGGTGGTTGCAGAGATCAAATAAGAATAAATTTCTACTGGCTGCAACAAAGAAAGATAATCAAAACTACAGAATAGATGGGAGTGGTGGCCTCTTTTTAGTGTATCAAACATGAAAGTTTATTCCTTATAGTAAAAAATACCAACAGTATGGCATGTGCAAATGTCACTGGAAGCTAGGTTACAGAACTACCCTTGGATGTCTCAGTAAGTGTATTCATTCCTGCAGCTGTATCTGTTATCCAAGCATACCCACAGACAAACAGGAAAAAAGGAGCTTGATATACTTCTACATACCACTGGCGGGAGTCCAAATTTTTTAGCTCTCTCAATAATTTTGAATTTTTCTTCAACAGATGAAAATTCTTCCTATAAAGAAAAAAGGATGGAAGAAAAACCACGTGATTATGGAACCATTTTGCCGCTTTCAATCAGTTATTTAATAAACATACCTATCATCCATCCTCTATGACCTCACTCACAAAAGATTTGTGATGATAGAAACCTACAGAATGAACTCCATCTTCCTTAAGACATGCAAAAGTATAAAAAGTCTACCAGCATTCCATTACTACCCAGTGACACAGATGGCTCTTCGGTGAGTGTGTGACTTGTTTGCATGTGCCTGTGTCTGTTTCCAGTGTCAGCTCTGCTGTGAATCCCTTTTCTCCACTTCTGTTCTTAAAAACTCCATTTTACTATTAGGGTCAAATCCACCCCTTTCCACAAAGTCTTCTCCATTGCTCTGTACTTCCCATTGGATTTAATCATTACTCTTGAACTCTTGTGTCATTCTATCCGATGTCAGAGTTTTATCAAGTCTACCTCCCCCATTAGACCTAAGGTTAGACTGTGGCTTATTCACCTTTGCAGTTCATTTCCATCTTGCATGAAGGCAGAAATAATATTGGACAGAGCAGTAATTAGACACAAACACACATACACACACATACACGCACACACACACACACACACACACACACACACACACACACACTCTTTCTCTCTCTCACTTTCTCTCTGCTTGATATCCTTTAAAATATCCAACAGATGTTTGGAATTCAATCTGCATACCAGTACAGCATAATTTCATTTCAAGTTTTAATTTAGTAGCAGAAAATAGGCTGCAAATAGAGAAAAATCTCCATTCTCTCTTCTCCAATCTTTCCAATCTTTTCTTCTTCCCCAACTGCAAACTGATAGGAAGGACAATTACATGAAAATAATGATAAAGTAGCTGGAGGTCTATGTGGATTGTTACCTTCTGTCCCAAGAATTCATTCCCAAGTCATCAAGCAACAACCTGCAGAAATAAAAGGGTCCTCGGGGCTCCACTGGGGAGGGCTGCCCTTGGCTGGTGACTTTCATTGCAGAATCGAAGTTACGACTCTGGACATACTCATCTTCCTGAGCATTTTGGCGCAAAATGACCTCGATGATTTCCTTCTCTTGGTCATAGTTCATGCCACATGGGGGTAGGGAAGGTTCATTTAGATTTAGCTGTGATGGTAAAAGGCATTCAGGACTTGTGTGGCCAATGTTTTCAAGTAATTTGTCAAGAACATCATCCCCTTCCTCAACTTGAGACGAGTCTTTCTGAGGTCCAAATGTGTGATGATGCCAGCTTGAAATCAGAAATGAAGGATTTCTTCCGCTGGGTGCTAAGCAGCCTTCTAAAGGTCCATATAAAACCTTACCATCCCAAGAGTACTTCCCTGAGATATCCCTCACAATTACTCTCACATCAGAGAGAGGGCCCACTGGTGATCCACCTGCCAGTCCTTCTGTGGGTGTCTGAAGGTAGGAGATGAGGGTGCTATCATTAAATACAAACAGCTGCAGGTTTGGGCTTCTGAACACCTCAGAGGACAGCTCGGAGCCTTCTACATGGGCATTGTCGTGGTTCTCGCTGACAAGGCTGTGCAGTATGGCAGGGCCCCCACTGAGGGGGTAGTGCCCGAGGTGGTTCACCAGGTGGGCCATCACCATTCGAGCAGTCAAAGGGATCAACTCCAAACTTCTTCTCTTCTTCTCTGTAAACAACAGTAAAGAAACATAAAGAGTCAGTAGTGAATGAAGATGAAAATGAAACACCTTTTTCTGGGGGGCAGGGGGTGGTTCCAAGATAGTAGATTATAGGCTTTTAGTGTGCCTTGGCCACTTAGAAATAGCAAGATAGTGCAAAAAGATCAACTCTCTGAGCTTTAATTCAAGAAGGAAAATGGGACTCTACTGGAATCATGAAGGATGACCCAGATCTTACGGACGACCACACAGGCAAACGGCCCCTGTAATGCCATCCAGCTGATAAAAGAGTGAGTGAAGCCCTAGTACATGAAAGAGAAAGAATCTCCCTCTGTAATTTACCTTTCCACTGGGGATCTAACCAACCCAGGCCAAGGCAGAGAATGATGTTTCTCCTAAGCCTCAGAGCTATCTTGAGGAGAGGCCTGGAGGTGCTAAGAGGAAAAGACACCAGAAAAAGCCACAGGCATTTCCTAGACCTGGGACTGAGAGATTGGAGCACTTGTTCTGGAGTGGGGTAGGGACTTCCACAGCCAGAACTGTGTAACATGCCCTAGCAGTAGGCACTGAAAATGTGCTCTTCACTACTGCAGGCTTGGGATGGGAGAAGAGAGCTGCTACAACTAAAGTTTCTCCTGGGCTATGAGACTTGCAACCAGGGTCAGTTCAGCAACATAGAATCAGTCTGCATGTGTCATTGCTGCGTGCACCAGGCTGCTCTGCTGAGATCCTGGTGCAACAGGGTCCTCTCTGTTCCACTCCCAGGCAGGACTACAGGCAGCAAAGGCAGATATTTTCCTAGACTGGCAGCCTGAGCTGCCCCAACCTTCCTGTGTATGCATCATCATGCAGTGGGGCCCTCTCCACTCCATGCCTAGGCAGATCTCCAAGCATTTAGAGCACCTGCTTGCCTGGACCAGCAGCCCGAGCCATGCTACCCTTCCTGTACATCAATTGTGGTGCAACAGGGCCCTTTCTGCTCCATATCCAAGCAGATTCTCCAGGCATTCAAAGCACCTGCTCACCTGGACTGATAGTCTGAGTTGCTCCACCTTTTATGTGAGATCCTGGAGGAGAGGGGCCCTCTCTGCTTCATGCTCAGGCATGTCTCCAGGCATTGAGAGCACCTGCTTGCCTGGTTTAGCAGCCTGAGTGTTCCCATCCCTCCTCTGCAGAATTCCTGGTGCAGGGGGACCCTCTCCACACCCAGACAGATCTCCAGGTATGTGGCACACTTCCTCGCCCAGATTGGTGGCCTGAGCTGCCACACCCTTCCTGTAGAGATCATGGTGCAGTGGGGCCCGTTCCACTCCATGCCCAGGCAGATCTCCAGGCATTCAGAGCACCCACTCACCTGAATCAGCAAACTGAGCCAGTTTGCCCTTCCTGTGCAGAGACCATGGTGAAGTGGGGTACTCTCCACCCCATGCCCAGGTATATCTCCAGGCAGTTGCAGGGCCTGCTTATCTGACTTACCAGCCTGAGCTACCCAACCTTTGTTATGCAGAGATTGTAGAATAGCAGGGCCCTTTGCAATCCAAGCCCAGGCAGACTTATAGGTACCTGGAGCACCCAAACTCACTCTCCTGATCAGGAGTTTAGGCTGCCCCTCTGCCTATGCAGAGAACTAGGGGCCAAGGAAATTTCCCAGCTCCACGCCTAGGCACACCACTGGGTACCTGATGGCCACTCACTGGATTCTCCCTTAGCACTGGTGCTTGTGCCCAACACCAGGGCACCTGTCCCGATCCATCTTGCCCCCTGCCCACCTAGAGCTACACAGGGAGCTCAGACTACTGTGCACTTCATGGATCACCCCATTGCCTGAGGCAACAGAGAGTTTCTCCTGGTAAACAAGGATCAAGTATATACCTAGCCACATTGGCCACAGCCAGCTTTTACCTATAAACACCATCTACTGGCTTGTAAGTCAAATTGCACAGCCTAATATAAAACCTGCTGACAGAAGTGCATAGGGCTATGGAAGCAAATCCAGAAGATGGCAGGTTGGAGGCAGTGTTAGCATCCCCCTCCCACTGGGAAGGACAGAATAATGTATAGAGATTCACACTGTGAACTTTTTTCCAAGGAGCAATACAGAAACTCAACAGGAAAACCACAAGAATCCATAGACCCTTTGAAAGAAGCGGCAGGCTGGCTAGGCATGGTGGCTCATGCCTGTAATCCCAGCACTTTGGGAGGCTAAGATGTGGGTGGATCACAAGGTCAGGAGTTCGAGACCAGTCTGGCTGACATAGTGAAAATATGTCAGTTGTGACATATTTTCTACTAAAAATACAGAAAATTAGCCAGGTGTGGTGGTATGCGCCTGCAATCCCAGCTACTTGGGAGTCTGAGGCAGGAAAATCCCGTGAGTGAACCAGGGAGGCAGAGGTTGCAGTGAGCTGAGATTGTGCCACTGCACTCTAGCAGGGTGACACTGTGAGACTCCATCTCAAACAACAACAACAACAAACCAAAAACAAAACAAAACAGCAGACTGCAGTCTACTCTATGAGACAGGTGAAAAACTATAAATCCTCAGTGTTAGTGGGGAGAGACTACCTTCAGAATACACATCCCCATGAGGGAATCCGAAAATCCAGGCCATAGGAGAAGGCTTTAACCATACCCAGAGCTGGAACTGTTTAAGGGAGTGATGAGAAACATAAAAGTAGAAGTAGCAGCAGGAAACACCTTGCAGGCATTCCCAGTTCCCAGCATGGACCAAGGGAAGCCATACCTAAATACATCTCACAGGGACCTTGGGGAAGCCAGCCAACTGGCTTAGAAAGGGGTTACAGAATGAAAGATGCTCCTAACTGAATTTCATGATATAATCTTAAGCAGGAATGAACTCCCTTGACTAGAATCCAGGGGGCAGGGACTTGCATTGCAGATAAATCTGTTTCATGGGCAGACAGGAGGGGCACAGGTGGGAAAGCTTACAGTTTGGGGCAGGTCTGGGTTCTGTGTGCAAACTGCCTGGATCTAAACCTGGTGCTGCTAGTAGAACACACAGGGAGTGAGATCGGCCTTGCCAACTGCATGGGAGCTGGGTGAGGCTTACTGCTGCCTGCTACTCTCCACTCCCATCGTAAATTCTTCTATGCAGCAGAGGCAGTTATACTACCCTCTGGAACATTATCCCAGCTGCCTGAGAACCACTCCCTGACCCTCAAAGGAGCCATGGCTGGCCTCACTCCGGGAGAGTCAGAGTACAGACCTGCTCAACCCTATCCCTACCTGGTGGTATCCCTGTACCCGCCCTGGCAGCTTAACACAAAGAACATAAACTTGTGGGAGCTCTACAGCCCTGCCCATTGCCTCAGAAACCGTATTGCTTCCCCTAGGCAATTTAGGACCAGCTCAAATCCCACAGCTAGTACTGCAGCTGGTGCTGTCTTCCAAGCACCACCTCTTGGCTGGAGGCTAGCTCATGCAGTCCACTACAACATCTATACTATGCCCAGGAAGGAGAAAATGGCTGCATGACTTCAGCTATCACCAGTGCCTATAATACTCTAGCCATCAGAGGTCCTGAGCCTGTCCATGTGAAAGTTAACTACAATTAAAACTAACATTCAAGAAAGCCAGCACACTAAGCATATCTATAACCAAGGAATCTCACAGAGTCTACATCACTCCCCTGCCACCACCATCAGAGCTAGTGCTCATACCCACTGCTCGGCGACTTGAAGACAGGCCACATCAGTGGATCAACTGCAGACATTTCCCAGCACCAGCCTGGCGTGTGGCAGCCCCACTGGGTGGCTAGACCCAGAAGAGCAGTAGCAATCAATTTAGTCTGGCTATGAGGAACTCCTATTCCTAGGGGAAGGGGGAGAGCACCACATCAAGGGAACACCCCACAGGACAAAAGGATTTGTACAGCAAACCTTGAGTCCCATGTCTTTCTGCTGGTGGGAAGTTTCCTGTAGCAAAGACACAATTGCAGTGCTGGATGCACAGGGAGAGATCTGCACCTCTACCCCAACAGGCAGGCAGCCTGCATGCTTGTGAAAGGCTGTGGAGAAGGGGTCCTTGTTCCTCACCTTGTCCACCACCACAGACACAGCTACAACTTCTCCCATGGGAACTCAGCATGAATGCACCTATGGAGAGCCCTCCTGGAACAATTCAGGGTGACTGCATCCCCACAGGAGAAGCACTCTCTAAGTTCAGGCTTGCACAAAAGGCAGAGTCACAATTCCTTTCTATATGGAACATCAACATCCCTCATTCCTACAAATGAAAAGAAGTGCCCGTCTGAGGTGAATAGCTGAAATATTAGGACAGAAGTAAGGCTGGGAGGTGGATAACTTTCTTGCTGGCCTGACAGGCCAGCTGAGTTAGTTCCCACTCTTCACCCTGATAAAACTCAGTGCATCTGAGAGATCCCCTAGCTACCTTTACCAAGGCTAGGGCCTCAGCCCACCATTGGGTATTGTATCTAACCACCTGCTTTAGCTGTAACCGGTTTATATCTAGGGATACTTCCCCTACTGGCCTGAAGCCTGGATCATCAACAGAGTAAATGGAATACTGGGGAAAAATTAAACAAATAAAAAGTGCATACCATGGGGGAATGAGATAAGCTTCAAGAGATCCTTGCCATTCCAACTCCACAGTATACAGTGAAATTGCCCACACACTGAGCACTCACTACAATCAGCATCTGAGAAAGTCAGCATGCAAAGACTCTGTATAACCAAGAAACTCATACAGCATCTTCGCCCCTAAAAGCAGCAAAATCAAATTAGGCTATAATAAACTATAAACATTAAAGTCACATCTTTAAGAGGGGGAAAAAGAAAATAAAAAATAAATACAGTCAAATAGAAAATAAATTCAAGAACAATTTGAAGAAACAGTCTACACAAATGAGAAGGAACCAGAATATACAGGTAGTATGACAAAACAGGGTTCAAAAGATCACACTTGCTCCCCAGCAATGATCCAAACCAAGATGAAATCTTTGAAATACCAGATAAAGAATTCAGAAGGT